AAAAAACGACTTTATTCAACAATTCGTCTCCTCCACGTCACCCTGGCGCCATTTTGGAGAGTATCCACTGAACGTAAATTGTGTATGCTGTTTTGTGTCAGCTGTGCCACTCGGATATGTTGTTTTCGTTCAAATCAAAGCGTAAATGACGTAAACAGCGTATCCGCGTTGAATAAAGTCATTTTTTTTTCTTTTGCGCTCAAAGTATTCTCGTAGCTTTGTAAAATTACTGTTGAACCCCTGATGTCACATGGATTATTTTACCGATGTCCTTGCTATGTTTCTGGACCTTGATCGTGTAAAGACCCTTGCTGTCTATGGGAGGGTCAGAGAGCTTTCAGATTTCATCAAAAATATCTTAATTTGTGTTCCGAAGATGAACGGCGCTCTCACGGGTTTGGAACAACATGAGGGTGAGTAATTAATGACAAAATTTTCATTTTGGGGTGAACTAATCCTTTAACTGACATGATCTGCCATGTTACATTACATTAGTTACAAAATTAAAAATTTCATATCAGTCAATATCGATAATTATCACAATAAACTTCAAATCTTTATTTCTTAAGTTTAAAGGCAGATTTTTGCTAATAAATAATAAAAATAAATATCTTAATAGAAAAATTTATTTCTTAGTTTCTGCATGTTCTAATGAGTGATATTGTTTCAAATCATGAAACAGGTTTGTGTTACCTGACCTTGATCACGTGTATCTTCAGCACAGTTTGCAGTGCAGGCTGCAATATTAACAATATTACCCTTTTTTGTCTCTTATGCACATTTGACAGTAGCTATTAGGACCTTGAGTAAGGATGCAGATGTAACTTTATGTTCATTATCAAAAACAGTAACATCTGTAAAAATTGTAATAACCTCATTTTTATATGGTTAAGTGTAATTATTCTGAGTGTTTGAGTTTTATTAAAATGAACCATGGGTCTTCCATAGTAGCATACATTTAGACCATGACATTCACAGTTTAAACCACAATACCATGGTAAAAATTTAGCTATATGGTTTCTAGGTATTTATATGAAAAACAGTAGTCTAAATACATTAAGTATAAATGCACAAACGCTATAGCTTAACTGTAATTATATTCCATTATTCCTTTAATACATTTAATACATCTCTACATTATTAATATAATAAAATTCTATATGAATATCCCACATTTCTGCCATGGTGCAGTTAGTGTTACTAGAGTAAATCCATGGTAAATGATGGAAATGTACAGAAAGATCGATCTTGGGATTAAAAAATCGTTATCGGTTCATCAAAATGATTAATCTATATTATTAACACAGTATGTGTGCGAATGTATTCCAAATAGTTTTGTGATTGAATCACTAATATTATCAATACATTTTGAAATACCAATACAATATCAAAATTCATTTTGGTGGACCAATTAAATAAAGCTATGAAGTGATCTATATGCCTAAGAATATGAATATGAATCCCTGAAAACACTCACGCAGGAGGAATACAGAGAGTCTGAGGAGGTTTTCCTGCTGGCGGTACTTGCGGAGCGTCTGTATGCAGCATGTTGGGATTGCTCCACTGAACTAGAGGCGGTAGAGGTCTCTGGAGGAAGAGCGTCAGGGTCAGAGGTCTTCTCGGTCCAAGTATCAACAGACGAGTCTCTGTTCTCTTTCTCCTGCTCACTTTCTGGAGTCTCAATGACGGTTTTACCTAGAGTCTCAGATTCTTCCGTTGTCCCTTCTTCCGTCTCCTGTATCGTCTCAGCTGACATCTTTTCTGAGCTTGCTTTAGATTGCTCTGAGATGTGTGCATCTGATTGGTGTGTGTCCTGTGCAGCTGTTGAAGATGCGTCAGGCATGTGCGTGTTGTTATTAACAGCTCGTGCTGCAGAGTCTGAAGCTGGTATGAACACATCAAAGTCCTCCTTCAAGTCCTGAGTAGAGGAACTGTTCTCTCTGAAAACAAACAAGCATGACTTCAGATTACAACATTTCTGCTAACAAAAATGAATTAATCAAGTAATTTTGTTTTCACATTTACTTGTGGAAACTTTGTCCTAACTAGAAGTGTCGCAACAAGCTTTTCAAGCATGGAGGCAAGTTTCTGAGCTCAGTGAAAGAAGCATCAAAACCACAAACCACAGCCAAGAACATACTTGATGTTTAACATACAGCTGAATAAAAGGATTTTGAGTGGTAAATAAAATACAAAAACATACTGACAGCAATTCTTGGACAGCATGCTAGAACATTAGGTTGCCATCTAATACAGTTTTTTTTTTTTTTTTTACTTTTTGATGCCACAGACCCCCAAATATGATGATTCAGGACCCCTTAAAATATAGAGGCAACGTTATATAGTATACTATAGTTTGAGTTCAGAAAGACTTTGTTTTTTTTAAAGAAAATACTACTTTTATTTCTCAGTGATGCATTAAGTTGATCAAAAGGGACAGTAAAGTAATTTATTATGTCACAAAAGATTTATATTTCAAATAAATGCTGTTATTCTTGCCGTTTCTATTCATCAAAGAAACCTAAAAACACGCATCATGGTTTCCACAAAAAATATGAAGCAGCACAACTGTTTTCAACATTAATAATAAGAAGAAATGTTTTTGACCATATTGGAATGATACTGTTCATCAAAGAAACCTAAAAACACGCATCATGGTTTCCACAAAAAAATATGAAGCAGCACAACTGTTTTCAACATTAATAAGAAGAAGAAATGTTTTTGACCATATTGGAATGATACTGAAGACATTTTAAAATATATTAAAATTAAATTTTTATGTCTAAATGCCACTTACATTGCGGAAAATAAAACTATTATAAATATGTACTTTCTATTAAGTACATTTTTTATCCACCATAACTGTATTGTTAGAGGTTTAAATTTGAAGACAAATACAGAAAAAAAATTGTGTATAATAATATTAATAACATTAAGATTTGTAAACAGAAAAAAATTGTAATAAGGTCAAATTTTGTATTTTTTATTATTATTTTTGTTTAATTTATTTTATAAATGATATATTATTGTTTACATTTAAACTATTTGTGGCCCCCATTTTGAAAACCCCTAGTGGATGTCAACCTGAATCAGTGTCATTATACAGGACCTTTTGATTGTGTATAATAATATTAATAACATTAAGATTTGTAAACAGAAAAAAATAGTAATAAGGTCAAATGTGGTATTTTTTATTATTATTTTTGTTTAATTTATTTTATAAATGATATATTATTGTTTACATTTAAACTATTTGTGGCCCCCATTTTGAAAACCCCTAGTGGATGTCAACCTGAATCAGTGTCATTATACAGGACCTTTTGTTTTTTTTACTCACCAACAAATCAATATCGAAAATTCATGGTTCTGCACAAACCTAATAGATTTATCAGGTGACACATTGCGTAGAGTCATAAGACTTTAACAGAACAGGCTTTTACTCACTCTGTAGCCGTGATCTTCTGTTGTGCGTTTTGGCTGATCTCCATGTCACAACTCCAGTGTTCCTTCTCTGGACACCTGAGCTCCTGACCCTGCAGCAGACTATCAGAGCTCAGGCTGGAGGAGAGCTGTGACGATCCGGACGTATCCAGACTCATGTTTGACGATGTCAGCGGAGTGTTCGGCTCACAGCCCTCGCTCTGCTCTTTCCTCGGCTCCCTCTGGAGCACCTCCTGAGCCCAATCTGAGCCTCCAGATCCTCCGGATGACTGGGAGACCGTATCCCAAGACTCCTTGCGCTTGGGGCCTACAAGGTGCTCGTCGGCAGGTGTTGGGGGACAAAGACCCGCGAGGACCAGCGGTGTATTGGTCCACTCATTCAGCACAGCTGATTTATAAGAGAGCTGGAAGGTCATCGAGGACAAACCCTGCAGGAGGGTGAGGAGAACCTCACGTTCCTCCGGGTCCAGCAAAAGAGCCCCGGGCTGGTAGTAGGAGCTCAAGTTGGACCCTTCGCGAAACAGCGAGGCCAGGTAACACTCCAGAAGCCCGTCATTTAGCGCCAGGCGAACCCATGCTCTGCAGCGCCCAATATCTGAGTTTATGAAGCTTAGACGTTCCAGTTCTTGAACGACATCCCTACAGCATCAATAGAGTTGCGGGTGACCATTAAAGGGTTAGTTCAACCAAAAAATGAAACATCATGGTTTCACATATTACATATTCATGCATTCATGTATCAATGCCTATCAAATATGATAAACTGAAGCTCAAATGTGCTTGTTTGATGCTCAAGAACCAATGACATTTGTTCTCGTTCTTCAAGTATGTTTGATCTTACATTTACCATGTTTAATGTGCATTGATCAATGTTTATATGTGAATTAAAGCTTATTTAAAAAGTGAATTAGTGTAAAGTGAAGTAAAGTGAATTAAATGTGACCCTGGAGCACAAAACATTGTAGGGGTCAAAATGATAGATTTTTCTTTTATGCCAAAAATCGTTAGGATATTAAGTAAATTAAGATCATGTTCCATGAAGATATTTTGTAAATTTCCTATCGTAAATATATCAAAACTTAATTTTTGATTAGTAATATGCATTGCTAAGAACTTCATTTGGACAATTTTAAAAGCGATTTTCTCAATATTTTGATTTTTTTGCACCCTCAGATTCCAGATTTTCAAATAGTTGTATCTCGGCCAAATATTGTCCTATCCTAACAAACCATACATCAACGCAAAGCTTATTTATTCAGATTTCATATTATGTATAAATCTCAATTTCGAAAAATTGACACTTAAGACTGGTTTTGTGGTCCA